TGATTTCGAATGGGTTGTATATGCCGTGCTGCCCGCTGAATCTATCACCCAGACAACGCACTAATGCGGAAAACAAGAAAATTATCACGAAATGCGCATCAATTGACATTCACAGCGAAAATTTTAACCAAACGCAAGACACAAAAACAACCCAGTGCCAGTCTCCGCCCCAGTCCCTAGCCCCGCCCCTTCTTCTCAGCGCCAGCTCAACGTCCGACATCGTTCAAGGATAGTCGGTGGAAACCAGTTAAGCTCGAACATTTTCTTGGCCAGACGGCGAAATGTGCAGCAAAATGTTTTTACTGCTTTTGACTGATTGAAGCCTGGACAAGTTTTCTTTAATTTTTAGCTCCTGTGTGTAGAGCATAAGCGGGCATATGCGAATATATATCAATCAACAAACTTTGAAGAAACTCAGAGACCGTATTTTAATGTCGGCAAATTACTTTCACTCTGAGAGGAAGCTCAGAGTGCAAAGAATCACGTCGGTTCTTCGACGAGGTCCCGAGATTGAGAAGACTGTTTGCATTGCTTCTCCTTGTCCGAACGTCAATCGTAACCCTCCCTAAACGATGTTCGTGAAAAGAGCGTCACACGAATAACTCAACTCAAGGCGCTCATCAGAAAACCCAAACGAAAAGAAACGAAGCCTCTAGCTCACAGCCAAAAAGATGCTCTGGTTCTCCCTAATAAATAAAATAAAATATTTTTTTTTTAAATCTAGCTCAGAGCGAGAGCTAGCTGAGTAATTTATGATGAGCAAGATCTGAGTTTGATTTTTTTGGCTGATTTTACAGAGCTTAAAGAATTAAATGCTCAACTGAAATTAGTGAACTACGTATCATTATTGCATATATATGCAATATATCATTCTACAATACTTATTATCATTAAATAAAATCTTAATTTTTAATTAATCAATTCTTATTTTAGAAAGGGTGTTTGCTCGTCGAGCAGTCATAGCCAATGTCCATCTTTTTTTTTTTTAATATAATTTTTATACTTTTTGTGAAAAATCACGACGCTATTAAAATGCCTTCAATTGACAAGTTGGAAAACATGAAAAAATATTCCCTTCAATACTAAAAATATAAAAAAAAAACAAGATGAAGAAGAAGCAGAAAATGTTAAGGAAATGGGCAAATGTTTTCGACGCCTGTCAATTGCCCTTTGCATTTGCGTTCGTTGAGTCATTTAAGGTATTTGATGAAAATCCCTGAATTGAATTAAACTCGAAATCGAATGTCGAAACTAAGCATTGAAAACTTTTCTAAAAACACGTAAAACATTTCTTATAGTAGATGAAATTTGTATAATCCCATTTAAAAATTAAAATTTAAAAACTAAATAGAAAATGGAAATTTAATTTCACAATAATTCAACTGCTATAAATCTGAAATCTCTTCAATCGCAACAGTCTTTTGGCTGATGTTAAGTATTAATGAGAATATATTAAATCATTACCAAGTGCTCCGCCTGTTGCAGGACGTTCGCATTTAACGATCTATTTAAAGGCGGTCTTAACATTTTATGTAACTGTTTGCGCAATCCTTTCTTGATTTATGTCATGCCAATGGACAATTAACATTATAGTCGGCTATATAAATAAGTGGGCAACAAATTAGCCAGTCATATAGCTGCGGCCCCGCCTCCTCGGCCCCTCTGGCCATTGGGCTAGCCTCGACAAGCTGTGACAAATTAATAAAAATGCCAAAATCAAAACGTTCAGATCATTAAAAGTATTTATGAGTTACGCAAATGCTTCGACTGGGCAACGGACTGAGTCGACTTGGTGGTACTCTAAAAAGAGTACGAAAAAATTTAATGCGAATTTATTTATTATTGTGCATAAAGTGCATAAAGTCTGACGAGCAACATGGAACGTGCCAGCGAAATGGAAATGGAAATGGCATTTGTCAGTAGCCATAAAATTATAAGAATAAGTGAGTGCGGGCAGAGCACGAGGCGGAGGAGCGTGAAGGGCGTGAAGAGCGGGCAAAAGCTCGTAAGACAAAAGCCTACAAAAATGGGCGGCTGCTTTGCAGATTCCGTGCGGGTCATAAAAATGGTCAAACAACAAGACGGAACTTCGAATCAAACACATGCCAGATATACATACATACATATATATTTATATAGGTATGTATATAAATTGTAGGCGTGGCAGGCAGCACATAAAAATGTTTTTGCAAAAAAAAAAAAAAAAAAAAAAGAAGCAAATTCGCGCGTGTTTTTTTTTCTTTTGTTTTTGCTTGTGGCATAAAATTTTTATGGCCCAGTAGGCGAAGGGCTGGGGCCGGGGCAAACGTTGAAAATGCATTTGAAATTGTCATAAATTCGTATTAATTTGGGGGCCGCGCGTAGATTTTATGTACCCAGCACAAGTTTGTGTTCTTTGTCCTGCCCCTGCTACCAGCCTCTGCTCCTGCCTCCGCCCCTTGCTGCGGTTCTTCGGTTTGTTTGGCTTTGTTTTTAGTCCCTGTTTAGTCGCTGTTTATCTTTGGTCTTGGTTTTACACACACACACACTCTCACACATGCAAACACTTATGCATGTGTGTTGAGCCCATTTCAAATTTAACGGCCATTCTGTGCCTTCTTTCTGCTCCTTTTCCTTTTCTTTTTTTTTTTTCGTTTTTTTAATTGCCCTCACATGCAATGCATTGTGTCCAGTCGGTGGGCTTATGAGTAATGTTTATTGTTGTATTTTTTATGACGGTGCCATTTTGTTTTCAGCATTAAGTGATAAGTTTAATGAGTTTTACTTTCGGATTTATGTGTGTGTGCGTGCGTGTGGCATTTTAGCATTTTGCGGTGGCAGATTACTCACCTAATCAATGATGCGCTCACAATCTGTTTATTTGATTGCTTTAAGTACTAAAGCATAGCAAATCGAAGTAAAGAGGCCTCTGAATGCATAATAGAAGAGAGAATAACTTGAGAATTCATTCAAAATGCACTTAAGAACGCATAGAATCTTGCTTTAGAGAGCAGAGCGATATTCATTAAAAAACAAACGAGGTCACATACATACAGACGTTCCTAAACACACGCATACACACATACTTAATTGCCATTTGCCGCATGACAACGCAATAAACATTTTGACAGACTTTTTGGCAGCCACGCACACACACACACAGACACATACTCAGTCTGTGCCACACGCGCAAGAATGCAAAAACTTCAGCTTGACTTTTAAGTGCATTCGAAAAAAGAATAACAAGAAGTTAGAATAGTTCTTACCCGACATGCCGAATATGAAATACCCTAGCTCAGAGAAAACCTGTCTATGCAAAGTTTCATTAAATATATAATACGCTACTCACTCACTCTCTCATTTACCGCGCTCTCACTCATACTACAATAACTTCTGCTCTCATTTCATTCGCTTAGCTTTGCAAGTAACGGGATCAAAAGTCCGAGAGACAATTAGAGTAACGAAAGTGGATATATAAAATAGCATCCACAAAATGTGCTCTCTCTCACTCTCTAGCATTAGTTGTACTGACGCTCAAATTATGTTCCACACTCACAATATCCACAACGGCTACTCTTTAAATGAATAATTGTATAAGGAGAAGCCATTGGGGATATTGTGGGTGTGGAACATAATTTCCTTGCTCAGATCCATTTAAATTCAAATATCTTGTATTTCGAATATAGTTTACGTTGATCACAGCTCCACTCATTACACACTGCGTAACGTGTTTTCTATCTCCCTTGGTAGAGTATTAAAATAAGAATGAAAATGTGAAGCGCTTGCCATGTGCAAATTGTAAATGTTTCATAATAATTTCGCAACAAATTCTTCTTGCGCAGTTGTTAGCCATGCGAATTATGTGGGCACCAACAACAACAACAATAACAGCAACGCCTTTGCGAGCAGCGGAAATGTTAACAACAACGTTTCGGCTTTTCGCAAAACAGTGGCTAGAGTACGGCACAGCGGAGAGAGAGAGAGAGAGAGAGAGGGAGGAAGGGAACGGAGACAATGACAGGAAGTGCATAGTTGGCCAACTGCCTGTCTCCATCACTATCGCTCTCTCTTTCTCCCTGCATTCTTTCGGCAGTTGTTTTCTCTTTCATCTTTTTTGTTGTCCTTGTGGTTAGAATTTTGCACAGGAAGTGCTAAAAATATTTTTAAGAGTAACAACAACAAATTATGTACAGAAAAAAATGTCATATAAATAATTAAATTAACTAGAAGAGTTTTTATATAGCAAATGCCGCGAACGAAAAGGAAAAGCTCAACTCAACCCCTTTTGTTCGCCAGTGTCTCGTCTCTGCTTATCCTTTTAGCCCTTTCATCCTCTTGGCCCCATCCTTCATAGTTCGCGGCTCAGCCGGTGAGTTGGCCATTTGTCGCCGCTTTTGTTGTCTTTTGTTGTCAACGCTGGGTGCTAGGAAAAATGTAAATTTTCATTTATGCCGGACAGACGTAATTTAGTTTTTCGTATTATTTTTACTTATTTCGGTTTACCAAACGGATTAGATGCGTTCAGAGTATGCACACAGAGAATGCTGCATATACAACAGTTTGTAGGTGAGTTTTTTTGGACGCCGACTAAAAAAATATTTTATAACAGAAATTTATATTATAAACTTTAATGTCAACCATTTTCATAAATTAATATAAATTTTAAAAATAATTTAAAGCGCCCTCTAACGGCCTTTTCCTGAGCTATTGCATCCTAGACAACAACCACTTCCCGTTTTAACGAAGTCTACTGTGCTTAAAAGTATTTCATATAATACACTAGGTTTGCTTGGTTTGAATAAACCTTAATAATATCTTTATCTTTATTAATATTTTTATATATATACAAATAAATCAACATTTGCTACTAGATCATAACTGCATATTTACTTTCACTGTAATACATAAGCCGGCGTATCATTGACATGAACCACTTAACGACTTAGCTCAAATTCGTTTAGTTTTATTTCAAATCCCAAGTTGGTATTTTTATTGTGCATTTTCTTGTGAGATTTCATACACATTCCATCTACGGTCACACTGCAGTTGCAATGCAATTTTCTATTGTACATTCTGCGGAAAAAAGTATCAAAATTAACGAATTAGCGAAGTAGGCTGCAATAAATAGCAAAAGACGCAATGGAGGCCGTTCCACGTTTGCACATGCTATGGTTTGCCCTCAAATCTAGCCCGGAAGGCACATCTTTTGCGCCATTAAAAAAGGTAAGCAGACGACAAAGCAGCGACGGTCGACGAACTTAACAGTTATTCTAGAAGGGCCTTATATGCGGTAGGGGCTGGGGACGTAACCACTGACGAAAGTTGATCTACTGTGAAATATGTTTGGCTTTGTCTTCACACCCACCTGCAGCCACTCACCCTTCCCTGGCGCTTCCCATGTCTGAGTCATCCGAGCAGTTGTTGGCTTAATTAGCAACAAATATAAAAAAAAAATATCAAAACAAACACTGAAAAGCTTTTGTTCGCTCATACTTAATCTTTCTTTCTCTCTCGCACTTTCTCACTCACAGTACATAGCAGAGTTTTACCATGAAGATCCGGAGGCCTTTTCGAAAGAGGTTCACGCCTTGGAAACTCTACGCAACCAGGCAATGCGTACGACGAAAGACGGAGCTCCCATCATGAAGCGATATTATTGCCAGCTACATGCACTGCAGAATCGGTTTCCTCAGCTCGCGGAGCGCAGCATCTTCACATTCACCTGGAAGGATCTCTATCACAATACCGTGCATGAGGTGAGCGATTTGCGCTACGAGCGCGCCGCTGTTCTCTTCAACATCGCCGCCTCCCACACACAGTCTGGCGCCTCGGTGACGCGCGGCGACATCGATGGCATGAAAATGGCCTGCACGCATTTTCAGGTGAGTGAATATAAATAAGGATATATAATATATCTATTGATAAACCCTAAATTTTACAGGCCGCTGCTTGGGCCTACAATGAGTTGAGGGAGCGCTATGCGAATGTGAATAGCGGCACGGATTTTATGACCAACGAGCTGTTGGTCTTCCAGCAGCAGGTGTGCCTGGCTCAGGCCCAGGAATGCATACTGGAGAAGTCGCTGATAGACAATCGCAAGCCCCATATTGTTGCTAAAGTGACGGCACAAATTGTTGTTTACTATGGCGCCGCTTTGGCTGCGCTGCTCACGGGCGGTGACGATGGACCCATCGCTCAGGTCATCGAGAGCTCCGTCTATAAGCTGTGGAAGAAATATGTGAAATTCAAGATTAACTATCTAAACTGCATATTGTATTTGTATCGTGGCCAGCAGGCGGAGGAACAGCGTAAAATGGGCGAACGTCTGACGCTCTACCAGGTAAGTTTTATAAGTATATAATTTAAATTGAAGCCAATATTAACATAATTCTATTTTAGGCCGCCTGGGATAAGCTGGAGGAAGCTCGTAAAGAGTCTAAGGGTCTGCCGGATCAAAAGGAAATCAATGAATCGCTCAGCTTCACCGCCGACGTGGTCGAGGGCAAGCGCAAGAATGCCAAAAACGAGAACGAATTCATCTACCATGAGGCGGTGCCAGAGCTGTCCACCATTCCCGCCGTTCAGGGCGCAAATCTGGTCAATGGCATTGGCTTCTCGGTCACAGATGAGGAATATGCAGGCACCGATATATTTGCTCGGCTGGTGCCAATGAAGGCGCACGAAGCCAGCTCCATGTACAGCGAGGAGAAGGCGAAATTGTTGCGGAAATATGGCGCCTTGCTGGAGGAGAAAGATGCCCAGCTGGATAGCTACATGAGCTCGCTGACCCTCGATAATCTCAACATCAACGAGGAGCAGGCGAATAAGCTGCCGCAGGGCATTGTCGATCGCTGTGCCGCGCTGCATGCCAATAAGACGGCCATCAGTGATCTGATTGAGGCCATGTCGCAGCTGGCTGAGATCACAGCCGATGTGGAGACCAATCTGAGTGAGCTGACGCGTATGCTGGAGGCAGAAGCGCAAGCGGAACGGGAATTTCAAGCTGCGAGCGGCGTGCAGCGTACGCCCAATGCTCACATTACGGAACTGACGCGAGAATTCCAGAAATATAGCGAAGCGCATGCCCGAGCCGGCGAATCGAACAACACGCTCCGCAAGGCGATGAGCTTGCATGTCAATAACCTGAAAATCTTGGCACGGCCGTTGCAAGAAATACAACAGCTGATGCCGAAGCTTAGCTCGGAGCTGAACACCACGGAGATCTTCAAGGACGTAAAGCTGATCGTGAACAAGGTGAACGAGATGAAGGCGCAGCGCGCCCAATTCCATGCGGATTTGCGCATTGCCATCAACGAGGATGACATTACCACCAAGGTGATTGCCCATGGCGGCCAGGAAGGTCTGCAGGCGCTCTTTGCCACGGAGCTGGCCAAGCACGATCGCCTCACCCAGCTGCTCGATCAGAATATGCTGGCCCAGCAGAACATACTGCAAGCTCTCACCGAGGCCTATGCGCGTGCCGCACCCGTGCTGAAGACGCTGCAGGACGTGAAGCAGAAACGCGAACATTTCTACAGCTCACTCGCCGCCTCCTATGATGTCTACGAGGATCTGCTGGCCAAGTCGGCCAAGGGCCTGGAGTTCTATAAGAAGCTGGCAGGCAATGTCCAAAAACTTCTGACACGCTTCAAGTCCGCCCGGGATGTGCAGTCCGAGGAACGGCAGCAGCGCCTGCAGAGTGTCAAGGCGCCAGCTCCGAGCAAGCCAGAAATTACGCCCACGCCATCCAGCGGGGCACCCAAACTTCGTGATTATCTAAAGGCCAAGCAGAGTGGTTTGGGTGCCATCCCAGGCACTCTTGATGCCACGCCCTATGTGCCCACGGTGCGCCCGGTGCCCGTTGGCTCGGAGAACCCGACACAGGCGGCCTGCTCGGCCTACGCCACCGCACCGCCACCCAATGAGCCGCCGCCGCCCTACAGCCTACAGCACCAGCAATACTATGATCCCAATGGCGCGGGTTATACAAATCCCATATATCAGCAGCAACAGCAGCACATCGCTCCGCCCGCCTACAAGGCACAGGCCTCGCCCAACTCCCAATCGCTACATAGTGCCATGGCACAGCTCAGCATGCAATCGCAGCATCAACAGCAATCGGAGCCTCCAGTAGCATCCTATGGCCAACAAACACCATTGCCGTATGGCTACAATTATCCACTAGCCAATGCCGCGCCTGGTGGGTCCTCTGCTTCACAGAATTACAACTATCAGCAGCCGCTCTATATGGCTACATCCACGCAGCCTGGCGAGACTTTGAGCTATGCGCAGCCTCAGCCGCAACAGCCACAGAGTGTAGGCTATGCTCCGCAGTCGACTCAGCAGTCTGCTTACCCGGCAGTTGGTGCTGCCACGCCACAGCAGCAGCAACAAATGTCTATGTATCCACAGCCAGCAGCGGGCTATTCTCAGACGTCACAGACATTGACTCAACCAGCAGTCAGTTATCCGCAGACACAGACGGGAAGTTATCCACAGACACAGACATCTCAGCAACCAGGCACTTATCCACAGATGACGACATCTCAACCCTCGGGAAGTTACCCGCAGACACAGACATCTCAACAACCAGGCAGTTATCCACAGACGCAGACGTCTCAGCAGGCAACCAATTATCCACAGACGCAGACACCTCAGCAACCAGTCAATTATTCGTCACCCCATACTCCTCAACAATCAGGCACTTATCCACAGACGCAGACGCCCCAACAAGCAGGCAGTTATCCTCAGTCTCTGACACCCCAACCTCAACAGGCAGCCAGTTATCCGCAATCTTCAACACCTCAACAGGCAGCCAGTTATCCACAAGCTTTAAATAGCCAACAGCCAGCCAGTTATCCGCAGACACAGACATCTCAACAGCCAACCAGTTATCCGCAGACACAGACATCTCAACAGCCAACCAGTTATCCGCAGACACAGACATCTCAACAGCCAACCAGTTATCCGCAGACACAGACACCTCAACAGCCAGCCAGTTATCCGCAATCGAGCCAGCAGTCGCAAATTGGAGCTTATCCGGCGGCGACACCTCCACAGCCTGTGCTTTATCCCTCGCAAGCAGCAGCTCAGCCCACGCCTACCGCCGCTTCAGCGCCCACACAATACCCAGTGGGCAGCGCTGTCCCCGGCATTGAGGCGAACAACTATTTGGGCTACTCCAATCATCCGGGCTACAGCTTCAATCCGCAGACAGGATTATTCGAGTACAGCAGCGGCTATCAGCATGACACCAATAGCATTCCAAAGGCCACGCATGGCTTTGGCCAGTTCACACAAAGCGGACAGCAGGCGGCGGTTGTGGGCACCACAGACTCGGAGCAGGCCAATCGCAGCAGCTTGGCCACGGGCTTTGATGTGAGTAGGAGTAAAATTCTAAGGAAAACCTTTGCTGATATTTTCTCATTTCATTTAATATAGTCGCCAATTGTTTCACATGCAAAGGCCACAAATGAAGCGCAAGCGACAGGTCCATCAGCTGAGGCTTATTATACGCCCCCATATGGCTATCATTCATCTGGTGGATCAAACACACTCCAACAACAGCAACAACAGCCACAACAGCAGCAGCAACAACCGCAGCAACAGCCACAGCAGCAGCAACCACAACAACAACCTGTTGCAACGGCTGGAGCCACCACAACCACCAACAATCAAAAGTCAGCAATTTATATGCAGAGCGGCGGCAGCAGCATAGCCAACACCCAGACGACAACGAGCAGCGCTCCTTACGCCTCGTCCACATTGCCGGCGGCAACCAAGCCCACAGCCTCTGAAGCTACCAATGTGGATTTGCTCAGTGATCTGGATTTGGACAGTGCGGGTGCTGTGCCGCTGCCGCTGCTGCAGCCGCAAATTGTGACAACTCCAACGCCGCCGGCTTCGGTGGTTGGTTCAGTGGCTGCTGGCGACTCCTCAGCGGATGCTGCGCCAGCAACAGCTGCCGTTGCTGATGCTACGGCTGGACTCTCGCCCGTTGGCCCGCCCCCTTCTATGGTTACGGCACTGCGCAAAAATAGTATTGACAATCTTTCCATTAACTCCGATCTGAGTTCATTGGATAATTTCGACTGGGATTCCGTTTCCCTAACACATTCCGTCAGCGAAAAGCAACCAACGGCAGCCAACGGACACACTCTAATAACATTCCAAATGCGCTCTTATGATCCATTCGGCGATGATAAGACGCTGAAATACTTTCACAAGGAAGTCGAGAGCTATGAGAAGCTCGTTGAGAATCTGCACGTCAAGATGCTGAATGGCAACACGCAGCTGAGCAGCAAATGGCTCGAGCTGCAGCAAAAGCTGGAGAAGGATACGAGCGTGAAGCGAACGACGACCATAGCTAAGCTGTTTCCCGAGAAAAATCGCTCCCTCGACTGTCTGCCGTACGATCATGCGCGCGTCAAGCTGGACAAGCAGACGGATGACTATATCAATGCGGCTTACATGAAGGTAGGAATGAAATAAGCGTGGAAAATCTTAGACCACATGACTGTCTCTACTTGATATGATATTTAGTTTAAACTTTAACTTTAATCTCTCTTCTCAGAGCCTCAGCGCCGGCTGTCCAAGCATTATTGTAGCCCAAACACCGCAAGCGAATACAATTAACGATTTCTGGTCCATGATTTGGTCCGAAAAATCACGTACTGTCCTTTGCCTGCACACAACCAACGAGGTAAGTTAAGCAACTGAAATCATTATATTGTATATATTAATCAAATAAAATTTTTGGCCTTTCAGCTCTTTGATCCCTACTGGCCGCAGCTGCTTAATCAGGCTGCTCATTATGATGACTACACGGTGAACTGCATTAAGATACAGCAGCTCAGCCACTGTACGGAATACCAGCTTAAGCTGTCAATGCATGGCGCCGATGCTGTGCTCGACTTATCCCTGCTACAGCTCAAGCAATGGACCAAAGCGTAACTAAATTGAATTTATATAGCTGATAAAAAATCAAATATTCAATAAGGCTTTCAATTCATAATTTCAGTTCGCCCACTCAACTGTTGGGCATAGCGCAGAATGCATTGCAGACGCATCAGGAGCGCTGTCTAGATGCCAATACTCCCGCATCCCCACTCATTCTCAACTGCTTAACGGGCTCGGAAAGATGTGAGCTGCTGGCAATAGCCATTTGTGCTCTAGTGGGCACCCAAAACAAGCGACCTATTTTGATAAGTGAGTATGGAGATTTATGATTCGAGCGCTAATCACATGATTTATGCTACATTCAAATATTTTACTTCATCAGATGTTGTGGATGTGTGGTCCCGCATTTGTATGCAGCGCCAAAATTCGCTGCGGGATGCTGCTATAGTGGAGCAATCGATGCAAATCGTCTTGAGCCATGCTCATGAAGTGCTAAATAAACGTATGGAATTGACTTATGCCTTATATAAGCATACATACTGATGTAATTTGATTTATTATAGGTGGCATCATAACCTCATATCAGATGAAAATGGCACCTCAGGTGACGGCCAAGGAGCAGCAGGAGACCAAGGATCCATTGAACGAACTGGATGCTCTATGGAAATTGAAATAAACGACTGAACGTTTGCTACACAACGTTGCTTAAGGAAACTTATTTATACACATTTTAATCAAAATGATAAAGTCGATAATATTTATACAATGCTATTTACTGCAACTATCAACTACCTATACTATATTTATACACGCAACTCAATGATTGTTGCAAACAATTGAAGAGAACGATTCGTTTCGAAGCTAAGGAAACATTGTATTTGTCCTGCTATTACTGTTATATGAAATGTATTTCGAACTATGGTGATGTTTATTAATGCTGACTATACCTATATCTATATATATATATCTGTATCTGTATCTGTACCTATATCTAATCGAAAACGTTTACGAAACTCTCTGTAAAGATGTTGCACATCTAAAGGCAAATTGTCATCGAGTAAAATATTTAATAAACGTTATTAAAAATATTATATTATTATAAAAAAGCATTGGTGCAATTTCTAAAATATATTCAAGAATATTAAAAATAACAGTTGTTATTATAACGCTTTCAATTGCAATGAAACGATTATTTGTATATGAATAATTTGATATTGGAATAATTTGATTAGAAATTTCCCAAGAAGTAATTAATCATTGCTCTTAAAGTTCTGAAGTTCATGCATTCAGTTTTGATCCTAAGAAAGAAAGGTATTAACTAACTCCCCGTTCGATAGAAAGAGAGAGACAAATCGATTCGCTAAGTTTTTGAGCTCAACAAGCGCAGTTTTTCGCTGAGTGTGACGTTGCCGAATCGCTGGAATAGGGGGATATCATAGGTCTGCCAATATGTGGTCATCTGTAACAGGCATTCCTCTGCACCTTTGTGGCACAGTGTGCTCGTTATGAAGTTCTCAATCAAACTGGTCCACAATATATCCTTGTAGAAGACATGCAGATAGGTTATCAAATAGGGTAGCTCCTCGCCCTTGAACAGTTTGCCGGCGACTTCATTTGGGAAAAAGTCCAAAAGAAACCATGTTGGCTGAAATGGATTGTTCAACGCCAGTCGTACTAATGCAAATTTGCGCATATGGCGAACAAAGTTCGGTTTGGGCAGAACAGCATCCGTTAGCTGGACATAGAACTGGCCTTTGGCGTGGGCATAGGCCATGAGGTAGGCCAGGTCTACATTCTGTTTGCTCAACTTCGACAGGTCCTCCTGTAAAAACGGATAATAGTAGCTCTCCTCTGGTACTACGATGTCAATGAGTCCGCTCTTCAGATGCTCTGCGAAATTCTCCTCGATTTGCTGGACTATGGGCTCAATGATCGTCTCGTCTTCTTCTCCTATGTACACCACGATGAGCGTATCCCTCTGATCTTCAGCGCTCATGTTCTCAATCAGATTGTAGAGAGTCGCACGCAGATGGGAATCGGTTCCCTCGTCCAGAGTGGGCACGCCCAGTACAATGCTCACGTCGGTGCGTCCTTGACTGCTTAGGTAGGCAGGCGACAGGGGTTTCGCACCGTATAACAGATGTGGTGGGAACTGAAAGACCACAGTGAACAGGCTAGTCTCTTCCTCATCTGGTGTGGTTGTCACATGCGAAAACTTATTGTTTTCGAGCTTTGAATACTGCACTTCTTGGTATAACTGGTACACGGCCAGCATTACCATGACACCAAGAAATATATTATAATAAAGTCCCATTTTAATGATATACAATATTTTCCAATCCATTGGTGTTGTCTTCTTGTATATGAAAATAAATACCAAATAAATTATTAATGTCTTTACATACTTAATTCAAATACGTTTTTAAAAAGAAGAATAAATACTTCAATTGACTTCTTGGTAGAGGATTTCTTTTTCTTTTATTATTTACTAAATCAAATAAAACACACGCACTTTTTATTTCCTCTTATAAGCTTTTCAACTATTTTTGAATTTCGATTATTTTTTTTTTTTATGTTAAAATATTTTGTGTTTTATTTTTATTTATTTATTTTTTAAATTATATTTTTAATGCTCAACATTTGTTCCATTATTTTTGTATTCATTATTACTATTAATTAATTTTCATCCGCCCAACTTTTTGTTATTGTTTTTTCTTCAGATTTTTAGTCAATTCAATTTATAAAATTTTCTTTCTGAATTAGTTATTTTTAATTTTTTAAATTACTGAATCACAATTTTTTGTTTAGTACAATTAATAATTTTATTTTCATAACACGTATTATTATTTATTTTAATTATTTATAGTGAAAATAAAATCTCAGTTATCGCTCTTCTCACCTCTGCCTGTTTCAATGGCGAACTGATTTTTATAAAACATACCTCAAATCACGGAAAAATTACAAATCAATTTGACACAGGTTAAAAAACTTTATGTATGAATATTATCGATTTGGTCTAGCTATATGCATATAAATATATATACACTTATTAGAAGCAATGCAGTATTGCAGGTTGGGCTCTTATCGGATAGATTTATTTACCTGGTGCGAATTCATAAATATAGTAAAAACTTTGACACGCAATTATCAATTATGAATTGCCGCAATCATCAATTAAAATTCATTTAAATAATCTAGTGATTAATGGGTGTTATCATTATTTTTTAGATTCTTAAGTGTTTTCATAATTATTATAGCCACTTTCTCAAGTGGTAATAACGGTATTACGCTATCATCGCAACGACGGACATTCACATAAATGCTATAGAGGACTATATACTAGTAGATTAATAAACGACCCTCTTGTCAAATAGTTGCAATTGGCTATTTGATTTGCCCAGTGAATTGTGAATACACTTTATTGTGGTTGATATTAATATTAATATTAATAGAAATAATTATAGATAGTAGTAAGAGTGACCAATAAAAGAGGGAGTAAAAGTTATTATGATGTAAGAGTAATATGTATTAATAGCAAAAATAGTAGTAAAAATCGCAATAGTAGTAGTAAATAGTAAAAATAGTAGTAGTACAATGGTAGTAAGTAGTAGAAAGTAATATGCATTAGTAGCAAAAATAGTAGTAAATAGTAAAAATAGTAGTAGTACAATGGTAGTAAGTAGTAGAAAGTAAAAGTAGGAGTACTTATATTAATATTAGTAGTAGTAAGTAATAGTAATAGTTAGTAGCAAAAAGTAAACGTAGTAGAAGGAAAGTAAGTAAAAGTAGTAGACACTAGAAGTATTAGTAGTAAGTAAATATTTCCAATCATACATGAATATATACCAACCAATATTCATAAAGTCAGTAAGGCTTCCTAATTTATAGACGAACCCCTAATTGTATCCAAGCACAGTGAAGTGCGACTATTGAGCGAGCTTATCAGCTACTTGGAATACCCACTTGTATGTATGTACATAATACCACTGCGAATCGTACAAGTAGTTAATCCGTAACTCTTATCTTCACTTTTATGGTTGGTGAGCGCATATAAAAGCTGTTGCTCTTTCGGGCTGAGCTTCAGTTCTCAATTGGATTCGTTTGTGGAATAGTCGAGTGCAATGCGTTTCGTGGCTCTTCTAGCAGCTGTGCTAGTGATTAGCTCAAGTCCGGCGGAGGCAAAGTGTGGCTATGAGGTACAGTGTGTGAATCACATAAGCAACTACATACATATCTCTACATACCTACATCCATGTTCTCCGCTCCACAGGCCTGTCCAGCGACTAAGGCGAATATGATTAATGTGCACTTGGTGCCGCACTCTCACGACGATGTCGGCTGGCTAAAGACTGTGGATCAGTATTATTACGGATCGAGGAACAATATACAGCATGCAGGTGTACAGTATATACTCGATTCGGTGATCGTGGAACTCCACAAGAATCCCGACAGACGTTTCATCCAGGTGGAGACGGCCTTCTTCTGGAAGTGGTGGGAGGAGCAAACCGAATTTGTAAGGAAATTGGTTAAGCAGTTAGTGAATGAAGGCCGCTTGGAGTTCACTGGAGGCGCGTGGAGCATGAATGACGAGGCTGCGGTGCACTATCAGAGTGTTATAGATCAATTCTCATTGGGTCTAAAGTGAGGTTAAATAGAGATCTCAACTAAGTGAATAGAGCTTACTCTCTCTCCCACTCTCTCTCTCTCTCTCTCTCCGTGTCTTTTAGGCTGCTCAATGATACCTTCGGTTCGTGCGCTCGTCCTCGCATTGGCTGGCAAATCGATCCCTTTGGCCACTCCCGTGAGATGGCCTCGATCTTCGCCCAGATGGGCTACAATGGCGAGTTCTTTGCCCGCATGGATCATGTGGAGAAGAGCAAGAGACTGGATGATGTGGCCATGGAAATGATTTGGCAATCGAGTGAATCGCTGAGTGATTCGGATATCTTTACCGGACTGCTCTACCGCCATTACTCGGCACCGCCTGGCTTCTGCTTCGATCTGCTCTGCAGCGATGAGCCGATCATTGACAGCAAGAGCTACGATAACAATGTCAAGGCCCGGGTAGATGACTTCATCAGCTACGTGAAGAAGATGTCCAACTCTTTCCGGGCTACGCACATTATGGTGCCCATGGGCGATGACTTTCAGTACGAGGACGCCGAAATCAATTTCAAGAACATGGACAAGCTTATCAAGTATGAACTAATACAAATTCTCGATTATGGAGTATCATAATCTAAAATCGATTTATTTACAGATATGTGAATGCCCGTCAAGTGGAGGGCTCAAAGGTGAATGTTTTCTACTCGACACCGTCATGCTACCTCTATGAGCTGCACCGAATGCAGCTGACTTGGCCAGAGAAGAAGCTGGATTTCTTTCCCTACTCGAGCGACGTGCACTCCTATTGGACGGGCTACTTCACCTCTCGCCCCACCCAGAAGCGCTTCGAGCGGGATGGCAATCACTTGCTGCAGACGGTCAAACAGCTCAGCGCCTTTGCCAAGCTGATAAGCGAAGAGCAAACGGAGGACTTGGATGAGCTGCGTCAGGTGATGGGCATCATGCAGCATCACGATGCCATCACCGGCACCGAGAAGCAGGCAGTGGCCCGCGACTATGATCGCCTGCTCACCGATGCCATGGTGGATGCCCAGGATAATGCTCGGGCTGCCCTTCGAGTGCTCACCAATCTGAGCACCGGGCAGTTCGACAGCTGCTTGGAGCTGAACATCAGCGTCTGTGCCTTTACCAGAGAGAGTGCCAACAATGTGGTTGTAACCCTCTTCAATCCACTCGCCCATCCCTCGACCCAGTTCGTCCGTGTGCCTGTCAAGCAGCAGCAATACCTGGTCACCGATGAGAGGGGTATGTGGAGGCATCTACTTACTTGACTTGCTTTTGCTAAATATTCTTTTAAATAGGTCGCGCTGTACCCTCGGAGCTGGTGCCGGTGCCCTGGCAAGTGCTCTCCATACAGCACCGCCCGAACGACACCCAACATGAGCTGGTATTCAAGGCAACTGTGGATAAGCTTGCCAACTACTACATACGTGTGCTGCCCAGTCCCAAGGCTCTTCAGCGTTTCGAGAGGGTGCACTCCTTACGGCATGATAGGAACAGAATTGAGCCTAAAGATGAGACGGATGAGCTTGTTGTGCAGAATTCAGTAAGTGACTGAGGGAGAAAGTGGGTGGATGAATGATAATGAGAAAGACGAAGGGCGAGGAAGAAATTGAATGAAGGAAATGGAATAAAGGATAGGAAAGGAGAAAGCAAGAGGGAATGGGAGAGAGAGTCAGAAAAAGGAGAAGAGGGGGCGAAACTGTGAGAAAGATATATAGTAAAGTATAGAAAGTAATAAAGAGAGAGAGAGAGAGAGAGAAAGAGAGAGAGATGGAATGAGTGAGAAAAAATAGCGAGGAGAATGAACAACAGTGAGTGGTAAGGATCTCAATGGAGAGCAAGTAAGAAACCGAATGAATGAAAAGAAAATAATGAGAATGTGAGGAACAGAGAATACAAATGAAAGAGAATGGGGATGGCGAGTGACTGATACTTAAAAATAAAATTATTATTATGCTCATGAACAGATAGGTTAGACCATAGACTTACTATATAATATAACATATATTTATATATATATGACTCTTGCCCACTTGCAGCAAATCAAGCTGACATTCGTCAAGAGCACTGGACACCTTAAAACGATCGAAATGAATGGAGTCTCGGAGAACATAGAGCAGAACTTTGCGATATATAAAGGAGCGATGGGTAACAACGGCATTGCCCAAAATCGTTCGTCCGGCGCTTATATATTCAGACCCGATGGCGAGGTTACTGTCCTGTCTGACAAGATCGGCTACACGGTGTACGATGGTGCTCAGGTGAAGGAGGTGCATCAGCATGTAAACGAGTGGATCTCTCAAGTGATTCGCCTCTACGAAGGCGTCAATCGTGTGGAGTTCGAATGGCTAGTTGGACCGATTCCAATTGACGATGACAATGGCAAAGAGATTGTGACGCGCTTCAAGAGCGGCCTCGTCTCGAATGGTGTCTTCTTCACCGATTCCAATGGACGCGAGATGATTAAGCGAGAGCTAAATAAGCGGGAGTACTTTACCCCGAATGTGACCGAGTCGGTTAGTGGGAATTATTATCCAGTAACAGCTCGCATTGCGTTGGAGGATAGTCAGAAGCGCCTCGCTCTGCTCAATGATCGGGCTCAAGGCGGCTCCAGCTTGGCGGACGGGCAACTGGAGTTGATGCTCCACCGACGACTGCTCAGGGACGATGCCTTCGGTGTGAGCGAGGCACTGAATGAGACACAATTCGGAACGGGTTTGATTGCGCGCGGTAAAGTTTTCCTCATCCTAAATGAGGCTGAGAGCAAGCCCACTGTTGCTGAGCGCTTGGCTCAACAGGAAATCCATTTGCCCTTCTGGAAGTTCTTCAGTAGCTCAAACACAGCCAGTGTTGTGAAACCCCTGAGCATACCCGATTTCACGGACTTCCCCCAGTCGGTGAACCTGCTCACCCTGGAGCCCTATTCCACAAGCGAATTCCTGGTCCGCTTCGAGAACTTCATGGATCACAATGAGGGTCACACAGTAAGCTTCAATATTCGTCATATCTTCGATGCGCTGAATGGAAAGGGTATACGCGAAACAACTTTGGATGGCAATATGGATCTAGCTGAAATGAAGAGATTCAAATTCCAGCACGATGGCTCTAAGCCAAATACAGTGGAGTATTACACTTCCACATATGAACCATTGCGGGCCACTGAGGATAGTGATGCCTCCAGATTTAGCGTCACCTTGAGTCCCATGCAAATTCGCACATTTATCATCAATTGGCAATAGACTTCGATTGGAATAAATAGAAATGTAAAGAAAATCTACTTTCGCTACTTAATTCTAGATAGGTTTAGGAAATTGATTAAATACAGAGCTCTTCCGTCTTACATATACATGCATATGTATGTATGTATGTCTCTCTGTTCGTTTTTAAACCTTACATTTTTAGCGCCTGCAACAAACCAAAGAGGGTGGCAGATGTTTTTCTTTTACACAGCCGGGAGTCCATAGGCGGCTGGACATCTAATAATTTGTGCGTGTGTGCGTTTGTGACCAGAAGTTGATACCATTTTGCTACCTGATTTAAGGTCGCTCCCATTTCTTTTCGCAAAACAATATATAGTTACGCAAGACTAAAGATTTACCGAGCCATTATCGTAGAAAATGAAAATGCATTGTTGGAAGATTACGAAAGAAATTTTGTTGTTTTAATTTGGTAAATTGGTATGGAATATATATGTATAGTCAACCTTATATTATAATTTCTACAATATTAAAATACACTTTTTATCATTGCAATAACGTGTGTTCAAAAGTTGAAAACAATCAAAAGGCAATTTCAGAATTTAAATTCTAACGGCTGTTATTAATTGATCTGGCAGCACTCCCATAACGCGGTTTCACTTCTTATTTCCAATAACAGCATGAACTCATTAATGCCATATATCGATACTTAAAATATTATATTTACGATGAGTAGCAGAATTTGTATTAAAACAAATTAAACTAATGTAGATTCAATAATAAACAATATGACATGAATATTCCCAAAGCCTACAATATCGGCCTAAAATTATAGAAACAATATATCGTTTAGATACATGTATCGATAGTTTACTTACTATCGAAAAGAACAGCGAATGGCTCAGCTCGTTTCTGTTTGACCGGGAAAAAATCAAATATCATTTGCTCTTTGGTCGTTCGTCCAGCATAATTTCGGGACTCGCACACGGTGACGGATCTAAAAAAAAAAGCAGACTGTGCAAGCGTAAGATCAAATCAAGATTGATGTAAGCACGGGCTGAGTTTGTATGTAAATTAAATTCAAGTGCTGCGAAGACGCAACAATGTTGTAAAAATTAAAAGTCAACTGTATTATAATATATATCGTATGCGTCGTGAATGTTGAATGTAATTTGTGCTTCAAATTTTTATGATAAATTTTGCCTGTGTGTAAATGTGTTCGACTTTGAGCATTCGTACTAACGCATACATATGCGTTTATGCTAGTGTGAGTAACAACCGAAACGCAAGCGACTCAACAAACGACGGCGTTTCGAAGCCGCCGACGCAGCAGCTGAGTTAAAGAAACGAAATTACACACATACTCACGCACACCGCTCTATACTTGCGTACATAAAATAAAGAGAAGCGCAGATAAAGCCACCATTTTTTAGTGACGAAGAAGAGAGCAAGGCGCACGCAAGCAGTCTGCGCCTTTGGATACAAATAGAGGCATCTAAATTAATTTTGTGCGTGCGGAAATAAGTTTGTAAACATAATATAATAAAATGGCCAGTTTTCAAATACATCGCGACAACACTGAAAAGGAGAATCCCGGCATGCCGAGTCTAAAGGAAAAGACATCAATGCTTAATGGAGCTGGTGGTGTTAAGCAGCCGCTCGCTGTAATTGGTGGCAAGGAGAAGGCTCTGGCACCGCGCGCCAATTTGGTTGTGCTGAATACCAACAATAACCATGGCAATGTGCAGCGCGGCAACCCCGTGCCCAGTGGCAAAATGGTAAGGTTCCATCACAATTCACATCCTAATTTTGTTGTTGTGTGCTGTTGGGTATTCCAGCGCAGCTGCCCCTTGCTCAACTTTGCTGGTGGTGGAACTACGATCAGTAGACAGAATGGTGGTGGGTTTTCCTGTCTGTCTGTCTGTCTGAGTCTGTTTCCTTGTTACTCTTCTGAATCACTCTTCACTCTCACACACATTGTATTATAAAAGTTACATTTAACATTAATGTAAGCTTCAGCAGATTATGTTAAGTATATGCACATGCATGTGTTTGTTTTGCAAGGCTGCGATTGCGCGCCTAATCAGTAAAACTAACCTAGAAATGCATAGTCGAATTGCGAATCTTGCGCGCTTTTTTCGCATGACATCAGACAAAAGCAACAATACAAAAAAAAAAGGCTATTAAAGCAAACAGGCAAACAGGCATACATACATTGAAATGCAATTACAGCACCTAAGCGAGCACACGCACACACAGAGAGAAGCACAGTGCCTGTGTTTAAAAGGAAAAGAGAGTAAGAAAGAGAGATAGAGAGAAATACATGCAGAGAAGCCAGCAAAGGGCGCGCGCACACACACAAAACAAAAACAACAACTAAAGCGAACGACGACTGCGCGGAGCAGCGCACGTAACAGGATTTTTCCCAGAGCAGACAGGGAATAAAGAATAATAGAGCGAGATAGCAATCTGAACTTTATGAGGCTTCCCCTTTCTAACACATTTAGCACTGCGGCACCATGTTGTAATTGCGTTACTCTTACATCAGTTTTCTTCTATGTACTCAATTTTATTTCTTTCGCAGGGTTTTCGTGAAGTTGCCAAGGTAAAAGTAGATGAAAATGCTTGTTTTGGCGCCACCAAGAAGTCAAATGTTGTTGTACCCGTGGTGGAGCAATTCAAGTCGTTCTCCGTCTACGAGGACAACAGCCATACACAGGTGCAGTTGCAAATTGGGAGCACGGCCCTTTCCATTTCAGCCGACAAAGAGAATATTCAGGTTGTCGATCAAAAGCTGTAAGTGAAAAGTCGAATTTCGGATCAATTGAATATCTACAATTGACCATTCTCAATTTCTCTAGCGAGCAAGTACGCAAGGAGTTTGCCATAAATCATGGCTACGATCTGGATGGCACGCCCATGTCCGTCACCGATGTGCAATCGCCCATGTCTGTGGACCGTTCCATGGCCGAGACTAGCATCATTAGCGCCGAGATATCTGACAACAGCCAGGCCGAGGGCATGGCTGATCTCAAAACCGATGCTGACATCTCGCTCTTGGAAAGTCCTGTCTTGCCGCGCAACGATCGTCAGCGCTTCTTCGAGGTGGTCCAATATCAGCACGATATATTGGAGAATTTCCGCGAGAGCGAAGTAAGTACAATCTGTAAGTAAGTACAATCTGGGATAAAGAGACATATTTAATCTTAGATGTGCTTGATCCTGATACCCTGTAGCGCAGTGTTTCCATTGTCCCACACTTTAGCTAAGTTGCTTTTCATTTAGCGCCTAGCAATCTACCTACAGCTAGCGTGCACACAGACACTCACACATATATACATTCATGCATACAACATGCTCATTCTAACAGCCTGCTGCACCCTCGGGTCGTTGACGACGACGACGACGTTGTCTTCTCGCCTCGCTGCTTTTATTTTCTTTTCTTTCGTGTGCCTGCTTCGCTCTTTGCCCGTTGATTAGTGGCAGCAAACGGGGTTCTACATCAGCGACGTTCCTTTCAAGTGCGCTCACGTGCCATGTTGACCATCCCTAACATTGACTTGAAGAATTTTTTAAGCATTTTGGCTTCAACTTTTATCGGTCTGGAATTTTCCCTTTTTTTTGGGCGGTATTTTCTTGCTGGTATTTTATTCTGTCCTTTACTGTTTTTGGCTAGAATTTATCATGTTTTAGTTGACGTTTAACTATTATTTCCAATTCGTCTCATCTATTAACGTTTTTGATCGAATTTAACATGTTATCTATCCAACGATTTGCAAACAAAACACTCAACTTTTAATTTAATCTTTATTAACCTTTTTTGAATTCCACTTCAATTTAAGTGTTATTCGGCCGATGCAAGCTGAACTCGCATGGAACTGCTCCTGCAGCAGAACTTGAATGTGATGCAGCACAAGCACAGGATCTGCTGCTGAAACAATTCCACACCCAATTCAGCTGCACGGCGAAGTGCACTAACAAATTAACGTGAGTTCTTGTTGAACTGGTCGTAGAACTCATCGGAGACCGCATTGCTGAGCTGCACCAACGCTTCCTTGCGCTGTTGATCCTGCTCGACGGCTAGTTTGGTATTGGCGCGCACTAACTCATCCAGCTGTTCCTTGTGCTTGCGGTCCATTTCAATCTGCTTGAGCATGAGTGTGCGATCCATGTTAATGGCATACTGCTCCCACTGTTTGTTCATCAGCTGAACCTCGGTCTTGCGCTGCAGCGTTTGGGTCAGCTGCTGCTCCTGCCCCTTGCGGAACTCTGCCAGTTCATCTGGAGTCATGCCGCGGTACATGAACGCAATCTTCTTGTTTGGATTGAGACGCGACTGGGCCACATCCGGATTCTCGGTCAGCATATCGCTAGACAACATATTGTAGATCTCTGCCATGTCGTCCTCATATGTCTCGCGTTTGGCGCGCTCGCGATTGGCCTGCTTCTGCTTGGCCAAATTGATGTTGTACTGGCGTATTTTATGAGTGATCTGATGGCGCATATTATGGTCCGACTTGGCCATTTCCTCCAAGTGCTTGTCGCGACAGTTCACACTCTCTATATAGACACTGTCGGCCTTGCGGCGCGCCTCTTCCGCTTGCTTGCGTTCCTTGACCTGCTGATCCAGCCAAGCGCGCTGCTGCTCACGCTGTCGCACCTGTCGCTCGCCCCTGTGCAGATCCTCACCATAGAAGATCTGGGCACTGGATACGCCAAGCATTATGTCATCATCGGCTATGCGAGCCGGCTTTGCTTTCTTGAGAAAGTTCGGGTCATTCAGATCATATTCGCGACGTTGATCCAAACGCTGATAGCGACAGCGATAATAGTTGAGATCCGAGTCCACAATGCGTTTCTCCTTCTCTAGTTCCTTTTCCTTGGCTGTTATGAGACGCTTCTGTAGCTGCTCCTGCTCCTCGTAGCGCTTATCGCATTCAATCTGCATGCTCCTCTGCTTCTTCTTCTCCAATATCTGACGCTCCAAGGCATCCAGATCGAGCTAAGAGAAACGAAATGGCGAATGTAGGGTGCTCCTGTTAATACCCTGTACTTACTCCAAATAGGCGTTGCCTGGCATTGAAGATGCGACTCTTGCGCTCCTCCTCGTACTGCGCCCGCTTTTGCAGCTTGACCGCCTCGCTGAGGTCCTCCTTGGTGCACAGTGGCATTTTGAGAGTCATCTTGTCCCCGTTGTTTCTGAAACTTTACCGTAATGTAAAAAATATATATATATACACCGAGTATTCCCTTTCAGTGTGAAAGTATATCACTTTCTGATGCTCAAACCGGTTTTGAAGCTTTGTTGACTTGAGTTGAGTTTGTTTGCCCGGTTGCCGGGTCGTTCGTTTGTTACACTAGAAAACAAATCAATTCTTAATGCCTTACAAACAACCCCAACAACTTGGTTTCCATATAAATGTTTACTGAATATATATAGTAGCTACTAAAATATATAATATCTGCTTTATATAGTTGATTTACCATTATGTATTCTATCAGCTGTTATATGGTATATTACTATATACTATTATTTATTCCAGCTATCATACGCCTATTTTATGCATTTATATTTCTCGAATTTTTTGCTCTCTTAAAAATCTATAAATGTAATATCTATAAATTACCACAACTACTCAAACCCAAATGAAACATTTCTTATTCCCATTTATTTCAATCTCTTTCGCATGTTTTATGCATTTACAATTTCTTCAATTTCCTGGCGCTGGCGCTTGGCGTGTCCCATAATCGTTAAATGGCCCATTAGGTAAACACCTAATATACATGGTGTTTCGTATTGCCGTCTTTTGGCTAAATCTCTGTGTGTTGGAGGGAGTGGCTTGTTCTTCAATTGAAATGTGGCTCACGTAGCACAAAATAGCCAATATACAAACATAAATTGGTAAATTCGATAGGTTACTAATATGGTTGAAAGAGGAGGGGCGGAGAGGGCGGTAACGAAGCCAAACGAGTTTAGTTTCCCAGACCGAAATGCTGAAGCATAAACTGACAAATTCGAAAACAATTTGTTTGCATAGCGCAAAGGGGAGAGGAGAGCATAAAGCAAACTGTTCAACGACGTGTTAAGATCAATATGTAATTAAATGTGTAAATTAATAAAGCTACGCAGAATATAGACACTTGCTGACAAGACCTAAGCTCAACTTGATGTTATTCTTTCACAGAAAAAACATCGTCCCAAGCCTCAGTATATGCGTCGCCAGACGGACATCAATCACTCGATGCGCACCATTCTGGTTGACTGGCTGGTTGAGGTAGCCGAGGAATACAAACTGGACACGGAGACACTGTACTTGTCTGTCTCATACTTGGATCGCTTCCTCAGCCAGATGTCGGTGAAGCGTGCCAAGCTGCAATTGGTGGGAACTGCAGCAATGTACATTGCCTCGTGAGTAAAATATTTGAAATTCATGTATGCAGCTTATGGAGAATCTTTTATTTCTGTCGACAGCAAATATGAGGAGATCTATCCACCAGATGTTGGCGAGTTTGTCTTTCTCACTGACGACAGTTATACCAAGGCTCAAGTGCTGCGCATGGAGAATGTGTTCCTTAAGATTCTCTCCTTCAACTTGTGCACGCCCACGCCGTACGTTTTTATCAACACCTATGCCGTGCTGTGCGATATGCCAGAGAAGCTGAAGTACATGACATTGGTAGGTGTTCAATCAAACTTGTTCGATAGAGGAGCAATTAATTTAGCTCTTCTCTAACTCTCACACTTGTAGTACATTTGTGAGCTGTCGCTGCTGGAGGGGGAATCGTATATGCAATATTTGCCCTCACTCATTTCGGCTGCTTCGCTGGCATTTGCACGTCACATTCTGGGCTTGCCGATGTGGACGGCGCAGCTGGAGGAGATAACCACATACTCGTTGGATCAGATGAAGCATGTGATTGTGCCGCTGTGCAAGACTCACAAGACGGCCAAAGAGCTAAGCACGCAGGCCATACGGGAAAAGTACAATAGGGACAAGTGAGTTTAGCAGTAATAAATGCTGCCTAAAGAGAATCATCAATATGAACTCTCTTCTATTATCTATCTAACTGCAGATACAAGAAGGTGGCTTCTATTCAGCCCATTGAACTGAGCCAATCCGAAATGGATAAAATTGTACAGGATTATAAGGCGGCCAGCAAATGCGAGGTAGATAAACAGCAACAGATACAGTCGGGCAACGATACGAAATCTAAAGTCAATTTGTTTTATAAGTTTTAAGTTTGTTTTTTAAATTCAGCATCAAGCCATGATCAAATTGTATTGTAGTTTAGCTTTTTCAATGTAAACCCCCCTCCCTCTATTAGTAGTTTTATTCGTTGTAAATGTAAGTACAATCCATTAAGGTTTTACTGCCACAGCTGATCGCTGACCCACAGGCGCACGCAACACAAAACGAGCACTGCCAACAACAACAACAACAACAAGAATAATAATAACAATAGCCACATAACTCCAATTGAACATCCAACATACACTGGCAGGCTACTGGACATTTGTATATGCTAACAGGCCATATATAAGAAAGAGGAGCTACAACCATAAATAGGATGAGCTAGTGCGATCCACGTTCAAAGCGTGCGCAGCAGCAAATCACAAACATGCACCATGTGGATTGTTTGAGGGATTTATAATGAGAGCGAGAGCGCCACAAGATGAATCGAATTAGAAATAAATGATGCAGCATTTAAACACAATCCCTTAGGCTACTTACTTATACAATTTTTAAGTTATTGAGTTCATTATTTGTTCAATGTCGTATTTTTTATTTCTTATGTATTTATATATAACCAGATATGTATGTTTACAATATGTCTTTCAAACAAATCGGCCCCAAAACAACTACAACTAAACAATAACATAAAATATTTATTTTATGCTACATATATGCTAACTAAATAGGCTATAAATGTTCTGTGAACCCTGAAGCAAATATAACAAAAATATATAAATTTTACTTGAAATATTATTTTAAATTTTACCCAAACAAAATATATATATTCAATAAAATAGTTTATACATACATATTTAAATATTTTACATATATTTAATGACGCTTACTACACTTTTAGTTCAACTCTATTCGTTTTAACTATGAAAGAGTCTGAGAAAGAAAACCATTTATGTTTAGTTATTTGCCTAAAACTAAAAGATAAATAATTTTATAAAGAACATGAAATACAAATTTGTATATCGAATTTTACTAGCCATCAATAAAAGTAAATGAGTAAAAGAGGCACATCTATAATTTTAATAATGTTTTATTTCCGATGTGTTTTAAATATAATTTTATTTATATAGATATATATTGCGAAGAACTCCAATCTTGTTGAATTCCCGATTTTTTTTTAAATAAATGTTCAAGCTCCACATTCGTTCGGCGAGAATCACCTTTGATTGCTTAGCAAATCACTTGACTAATTGCAAATGAATTGAAATTCCGATTAATGCGCGTAATTAAAACAAATTAAAAGGTTAAGCATTTCCATTCAATTTTATAATTGTTCTCGTATTTAACAAGTGTATATTGATCGAAATTAAAGAAATTAAAATAGATTACTACAAATGTAGCATTTGATCGATGTGATCCAATTGCCAATGGAGCCGGACACCCACCTCCGCGATATGGAGCAGCGTTTAATAAAATTTGATTCATTCTCGGATTCAGTTTGATTGTTATTGTCCCAAATGCAGCTCGAGAGCGTAATAGAGACTGACACAACGGATAAAATGCGAATGTGAGCTAGCTCCTTGGAGAGGAGTTTTATCAATGGCAGCCATATCGTTGATCGTCTCTAATACGCAAATCGTAGGTCCGGATGGTAGCCGAGCTTGTCTAGTGCTGGATTGCAGGCAAAGTTAATCATGGGCGGCGGGCCGCAGAGCAGCACGATCGTGTCGTCATTGGCGGGCAGCAGATGAGCGGCGATCATCTCATCATTGACGAAGCCAACACTATAAGTCCAGCCTGGTGTGAGATAAAGAAATCAGAATTCGAGATTAGCCAGGGAACTCACAGAGCGCCTTAGTTCGACCAGGTAAACCTACACAAGCACACAGATACAACATTTCCCTTGATTTGTGTTATTTTTTAACTGAAAAGCTCAAATTATACGAATGCTAAGCTTCGTTACTTAATAGCTAAAACGTTGCTCGGAACGATGTCCCAGGCGTTCAAGGCCCGGTATACAGGTATAGTTGACCATGGGCGGCGGACCGCACAGCAGGCACAATGTATCTGGGCTGGGCGGATGCAGATGCTCGCCCATCATCTCGTCGTTGACATGGCCCGTATTGTACAACCAGGCTATGAAGCGTGCGTTCGCCGGGCGGGGCATCCGTTTATGGGCAGCATGTGGCGAGGAGCAAACACAAGATTCTCAACATAATAGATGGCTTATATGGGCATTAGGCACTACAGCGATTGATTGCACTACACTGATTCAGACTGAGTGATTTATGGGAATGAGCTCGAATTGATGTGACGTACATGCATAAATATAATATATAACATTGAAAACCTGAATATAAATCTAGCTAACTAATGATTTAAAATTCATTTTCGTTATCTACTTTTTGCCTAACGCTTTGTTTAACATTAATCAACAAATTTATAAATATCTAATCTAATTTTGTTTTAAACAAATATCTTTTTACAATTTGCACTTAGCTCAACCAAATCAATAAAATTTCTATGACGAAAACTTTAGTATAATCTATATCTCGATCCTATGTCTGTTAAATTAAAAGCCCTGCATGAGCATGACGTTGATTCGATGATAGTTAAATGTGTTGTACAGCAGTTGAAGCCGCAGCTCACCTTCGCTTGCTTTGTCCACGGTGTACCAGACCTTAAACTGATCGGGATGCTGCTTGGCCAAGGTATCTAGTTCGTCACGCAGTAAGATATCCTTTTCACTCTGCAAAATTTATGTTCAGAGAGTTACTTTTATAGAGACTTCAATTCGATGCTCTCACTCACCTGATTGGCAAAGAGCAGCGCCAGCTGTGTCTTATCCTTGTCGCTGTGCTTGAGCACTTCGCGCACGAGCTGCAACATGGGCGTAATGCCACTGCCGCCGGCAATCATGTTGACGCACTTGGCCGTCACTTGCTTGGGTGGATCTTTGCGGAGTTTCTTAATGGAGAAGGTGCCGTTGCCCAGATATTGCAAGCGACCCGAGGGACCACGGAACGCGATCTTATCGCCCAATTCCATTCGCTCCAAGTACTGTGTCATTTTGCCACCCGCTGGGAATTTAGGATGCGTATCCTTGAAGTACACCTTCACAATCAGGTCCACGTAGCCGACATCGTCATCGGAGGAGATGGGTGTATACGGCCGTATGACCAGCTCATTGTCAATTGTCGCTATCAGATGGATATGCTGGCCCACAGGCAGACCCAGTATATGCTGCTTGGAGGGCAGACCGAAGCGAAAACGTCTCGTATCAGCGCTGAGCACCTCCTTCTCTATCAGTGGCAGCTGGTACTTATCATTGGGATCGACCAGAGTGCGTAATCGTGCAGTTCGGTTGGGTTCGCGACGGGGCTTCGTCGACTTCTTATTGATAAAATAGTGGACTATCAATGCCCCGGCAACGATGGCTGCAACGCCCATAGCAATCGGAACAAACTAAAAACAAATAAAAGCCAAAGATATTTTTAGAAAATGTCAATCATCGGAAATTTTATATTTAATACGTATTACGTATCATCCGAGTACAAATATGAACATTTTATAGCATTACGTATTTTTCCGTTGACCTTTTACTTTGCCCTATTGATGCCATTGCTGATTATTCTAAGCACATTATGTCAACTCATGTAATTAAATCCACAATTATTTTTTAACCATAAATATTCGCCCTAGTTTCGGTTCATGATGAAATTTGAGTCTGTGATCTCTTTATAGGATTTTTTTTTTTTTGCAATATCTATGAAGCCACCTAAGAGTTGGTTTCTCTTAAAGCCTCAATATAATTGAGGTTATTTCGTTTTGCATACAAACACAACTGACATCGAAATCGACTTGGCCGTGACCTTGCAAACGTAGTCCATTTTGGGTGCTGCGTTTCGCCATGCATGATGCACAGAGACGGCAGTAACTACGCTGCGGGCAATAAATAATTATCGATGACGTCACTGCCCACGCACAGATAAACAGAGAGCACCTTTTGGCCCACAAGCATGGAAACAGACGAGAGAAAAAAAGAAGAGACAGAAAGAGAGCGGCATGCGTGGCAGCACTCTCATTTCATTTACTCTTATTTCACATTTAATATAGACTTACATCAAAATCTGCCATTTTTCACACACTTGCTGAATGTTTGGTACTTTATATTATGTATTAGCAATTGAAATTATTCAAAATATTCAACTTGACCGACTATTAGGAATGAACAGCAAAGCGTTTGATCAACCGCTTGCCGCCGCGCACAATTTACAATTGAAATGAAGTCGAAGCGCGGAGTCAACACGAGGCCTAGGTGCCGAGTCAGCACGCGTATGCGAACAGTGTATTTGAAAAGTAAATGGCAAACCTAAACAAAGTTAGTTGTGAATTGAGTTTAATACGCATATATACAATCTGTAATCTTGTCAAGCGTTGAGCATCGTAACGATGATTGAAATAATGTGTCTCACACTGTGAGCGTGAGAGATATCAAATAACAAGTGAGTGACAAAGGGAGATAGAGAGAGAGAGAGAGAGAGAGAGAGAGAGAGAGTAAGAGAGACAGAGAGACAGAGAGCGGGCGCTGATATTGAAAGAGCAACTTTACTAATTCAAACAGCTGATGTGTTCGTAAATATGCCGACTGTGACGTAGTCTCAAACAAACTTATATAAATTTAAACACTTGCCCATTGTGAAAACTAGAGATGAGCCATATGGCGATTATTCATTCAGTCACAGTCACAACTGTTACGTTATTCAGGTTCAATAATGGAAATATTGCGCAACTCAATGAAGAACGACAGACAGATTAAGCTCAAAGGTCTCTCTGGCAGAGAGAGGTCTAATGCAATTAGCTGAGTGCAGAGCCAAAGCTCAATGGCTCCTTGAGATATTAAAATTCCATCAAGCTGTTTTAAATACGTCGTATAAATAACATTATTAACAGCATGACGTCATTTGAGCAAGTGTGCGCCAATTGCGACGGCCAACGACTCTATGATTGTTGTTATAAATACCTTTGTAGTATATCCGCATATTCTTCGCATTCCCCGGGTGGGAGATGCCAAATGGCGGAATCACATTTAGATACATACATTTCATACATATTAATGTATATTTTTAAGAATTATGACATAGGCTAGCTGAATGCGAGGTGCGTACGTGATGAGAAGTGTGAGAGGACACCGAGCCCGAGGGGTACCGAGAATTATGCAAAAGCTATGCTGCAACATGTTTCGTAACTTACATTGCTCTCAATTAGACGCGCCATATCCAAAAGACTGGAGACACTGCTGGAACTCAAGAATTGCCGGTTGGAAAATCAATCAATGAATGCACTTTATGGATAAATATTATATAATTCCTTTATCGCAGCGATGGAGCATCACGCACTGCTGCTGGTGCACACGGACAGAAGTTTTATTTTAAAACGCAACGCAGGCCCAACGCGAATGCAAACACGAGCGTGTGGAGATAGTGAAAGCAATTGTTTTGTTTGACCACGAAACGTTCGCTCTCTTAATCTCTCGCGCAAGTTCGCGTTCCACACTCTTTCATTTCTCTTTGTTAGCTCCTGATTTTGTCCAGCATCAACAGCGTATACCACTTTTAAATGTTTATCCCAATGTATTTAATTTGTGCTCAACTGCGTCATTTGAAGCTCAACAAGGCGCACATACGCCTTTTAAATTTCAACACTATTCAAAACGTAGATGCTGAACAGCTGAACTTGGTAAAGAACTTGTTTGTGGATTATAAATACAAATGCAAGAGTTTAGCGTTGCCACTGTGTTTGCTGTGAGTTCCATATGTTAACGATAAGTAGTAACGATTAATATCACGGCAGCTCTGGCCAAAAAGTAATCGATATTGAAAACTTAAATCGCCGCAGCTCATCTCTTTCTTTCGTGTATTGCACGTTGCAAAGTGTAGACATGGCGTAAGTAACTTAATTCGAAAATCTTTAAAAATACAATGCATCTTAAATATTTTGATGAAAATAATGCAGCATAATGATAAATTATCTGCTGCTTTTCAAATTCTACAATATATTTATTGTGTTCTGCAATCAGAAACCAGCTTTTTGGACCACATTCAATGACCACATCAGTTTGGAAATGATTGCAATAATAAAATTGAGATTTTGTGCCAAATATGTGACTATTCATGCAAGTGACAAGAATTTGCACAATGCTTATACATTACTTTTACATAAAATTGTGTATTGTATAGCAGATTTAACTGAAATTTCCATTGCAGAACAAAGGTGTCGCGTGACACGCTCCTTGAGGGCGTCAATGGAGTTCTTGAACATTCGTTGAAGAAGAAGCGCAAATTCCTGGAGACGGTGGAACTCCAGATTGGTCTGAAGAACTACGATCCCCAAAAGGACAAGCGTTTCTCTGGCACTGTTAAGTACGTTGGCTAAAATCACCTGTGCTGCTAACCAAATCCAAATCTGGAAGGCTTCAGCGTCAGGTAGTCGCATGTATATGTTCTCTTTCACATACATAGCGGCGGACCTGCACTCAGGGTCTTTAAATCTAATTGAGTAGGCGCCAGCAATGGTTGCCGTTTTCCTAGTTTAATAGATAATAAACTGTCCTGCTCCTCTGCGAGCTGCGTAAGTTTTTTGTTTAAATGAAAATTGAGCAAATTTGCCGTCTCTAACTAACTCGTATAAAGTGCTTTTCCTAATCGTTTCCCTTTACTCATCTTACAGATTGAAGCACATCCCACGTCCCAAGATGAAGGTGTGCATTCTGGGCGATCAGCAGCATTGCGATGAAGCCAAGGCCAACGGCGTTGAGTTCATGGATGCTGAGGCACTCAAGAAGCTGAACAAGAACAAGAAGCTGGTGAAGAAACTGGCCAAGTCCTATGATGCTTTCCTTGCCTCCGAGTCGCTGATCAAGCAGATTCCCCGTCTCTTGGGTCCCGGCCTCAACAAGGCTGGCAAGTTCCCTGCCCTGCTGTCTCATCAGGAATCAATGATGGCCAAGATCGAGGAGGTCAAGTCCACCATCAAATTCCAGATGAAGAAGGTGCTGTGTCTGTCTGTCGCCGTTGGACACGTGGGCATGAAGCAGGATGAGCTCACCCAGAACGTTAGCTTGTCGATCAATTTCTTGGTCTCGCTGCTCAAGAAGAACTGGCAGAACGTGCGCTCCCTGCACATCAAGTCCTCCATGGGCCCACCCCAGCGTCTATACTAAATTTTTGTAAAGCCAATATCTTTTACAACAATTAAAATGTACATTTGATGAATGTAAAACAAATTGAATGTGTATTTCAAGCCCAAGCTTATTCGTTAGTGTATATTTTAGTCTAGTCTTAATTTACATTTCTGTGGAACTAATGGTTCTGGCTAGGAAATCCCGCAGGTCACGCGCCAGCTCCGCTTGCGGAGAATTGTCTATTTTCGACTCGATTGGAGGTGCTTTGAATCTCAATACGTTCACCGAGTTGCCCCACTCGGGAATGTGCGGCTCGCTCAGCTCCTCTAGCAGATTGTGAAGAACGGTTGCGGCTGTGATTATGCAGGAGGCGGTCTGGAAACTAATGTCTAAAGGCTGACTGAGAAAGCGCCAGCGAGACATGAGGCGATGCATGGCAGAGTCGCTCAGCTCTTGGAGGTGATCGGCCACTTCGTTAAAGTCGTATTCGTGAGGTGCTGCCGGTTCGGCGTAGCGCTGCAGCAGCCACGGCCGGAGTGGATAGTTTTGATTGGCTGGCGCCAGCACAAAGGCGGGCACCGAGCGTTGATTGATACGACGGGCGGGTGACTGGGTCAATGCATTCGGTGCCACCGCGAACATGGGCGGAAGAGGCTGCTTGCCACTACCATTAGCGTTATCCAGACGCAGCTCGCGGAAGAGCATGCGATCGTCCAGCAGGAACTCCATACGTAATGCCGAACCAGCTTCAATCTGTTTCCCTTTGCCGCGCAACGGAATGGAGCAGACACCCAGCACACCAAGCAGTGCTGGCGGCATGTTGCACTCCCGCCTGAAGCCGGCCACAACATTGGCGCAATCCGCCTCGCTCTGGGGCAGCAAGCGCAGCGCCTTGCCCAGGCTGGTCATCACGGCGTTGCAAAAGACCTTCAAGCATTTGATGGTGCGGGCGCGAGGCAGAGAAAACTGTTCCGAGATAATCGAAATGCGCTCGCCGCTGGCCAGGAAGAAGAGCGCTAGACCAACACATTTGTCGGGCGGAATCACTTCCGATTGCGATTTCAGCTCGGGCACCGAACGTAGCGTGGGCGCCAATTGGCCGCAAAGCGATTGGAATGTGCTGCGTGTCACGTGGAAGCTATCGAGAAACTGCTCATCGCTATATTTCGGTACTTTATGCTCCCAAAAGAGCGTCGGGGCGTCTGTTTTGGTTTCCAGATTGTCAGACATGCTGTTCTCTATATCAGCCTCCATTTCCTCGGCACTCTGCAGCTGGTTGTACTTCATACGCAGCGTGACGAACATTTGAATATAATTGGACTGCAGCTGCATCATTTGTTGCATGAAGAAGGAGCGCAGGTTTTTGAGACGACGTCGTGCGCGTTGCTGACGACGTCGGCGATGCATGATGACGATCTGCTGCAAGTGTCGCACATGCAGCCGTATCAGCGTCGCGATTTTTCTTCTGCGGTGCTGCAAGTCATCATTCTTGCATTTTGCATTGGACTTAAGCAATTTGGATAGAATCTCGCTTAAATCACTGTTTATTATTTTCAGTCCCTCCTCCATTTTCCAGAGCAGCAGTGTGACCAAAAACAGTAAACGATTAGAAGCACAATAGTTGTTCGATGACAAAATACCCAATGCATATCGATACACTGCTCAGCTCAAGCGATAACATGACACATAGACTAATCGTTTTTTGTAAACGCGGCAATCACAGTTATTGCAGATAAAAATGAATTCTAGTTATTCGTTTAATTTTGATAGATCTGTTGAAGCTAGAAGCACATCTACACCTGTGAGCATTTCGCTGTCGTCGTTGCACAGGGCTCTCATTGAATACGCAACAGTTTCATCCCGATTGCTGTTTATACAGGATCCTGATGTGTACACAGATTTCTATCACCCTAATGAAAAATTTAATGAATATTCGAACGTGGAGCTGTGCGACATTATGCTGAAATTGGTTTTACCCAATGTGCACTTATACCAATTGCCGACTACGATAAAGGATCGCTTAAAATTGTTGGAACTGAATCCATGCTTTCAAAAAACACACCAAGGCTATCAGTACTCACCAAACCGCCTTGGGATTCAATTTGTTTTACAGCCAAAGACTGATTTTAGCCTGCCCGAAGAACTGCCAACAATAATGGTGAGTTTTTATGTGATTTAAAATCTTTTACATATTTGTTATCTTATGGGTCTTCTTGACAGTCCGCACAGCGTGCCCAAACAGGTGGCACGATCTTCCAGAAGGATGCCCTGATGCGTGCCGACAGTTGTTCCCACACTATGTTGGTTGGCAGCGATGCCCGTGGACCCAAGTTTGAATTGAGCATGGATATTGCTGCACCCCTCTCCGCAATGCTTTCCAATGACTGGGAACTATCTTCCAATGAACTGCATCACACATACAAAATCAAAAAACGTTTGCAGCGGGCCAAGTATAATTTCCAGGAAACTGGAAACGCCTCACCATATCGTACAAATCTCTTGCAACTTGTGGATAATATGGATATGTTCGATAAGCTCAAAAAGCATTTGAATAGAAGTTTTTCTAATTTGTAAATATTTAATTTTTAAAACCCTTATTTTTTAAATGAATTTTATATATGTATGTATGTTTTTTCTAAACTTCAATTATATATATTAAAGCAACTTACTATTTAAAATAAAATTTTTATATGTACCTATGTTTTAATAAAAATAAAATAGGGTTTTTATTTGATTTAATTAATAATTTACAGTTAATTCAAAATTCAACTACTCACCACAATAAATAATAACTCACCATCATCCTTCCCTTTGTGCAATCTTACAAATGTCCAATTTACGATAATCGTTTTGGTTGCCGGTCAGCAGGTAGGTATGACGATCGTCTGTTAATGGATGATGCACCGACGTCGTCGCTGTCGCTCTTGCGCTCTTGTTGTAAAGAGAGTTGGGTGCGCAGCGTACTCTCCAAGCGCCAGCAGCAGCTTCAACGGTGTTCGATTTCGGTGTTGGCTTTCAGTCGCAAACTACGTGTAAGCAAAGATAGACGGGTGCGCGCTTCTGCTGCTTTGGCTCCAATTTCGTTTCGGTCTCAAAACAAAAACAAAAAAGAAGAAGAAGAAAAAAAAAAATAAAAAATAACAGCCAACTGGCGCGTTTTGTTTGGCCACGGTGCGAACGAGAGAGATAAAGAGAGCGGAGAGCGGGGCGCGAAAGTGCGGAGAGTGGCTCGTAATGTCTGCCAAAGCGTAACGAAAATTTTCAAGACAACAACAAATATAACAAAACCAACAACACAACGGCAAATATCATTAATGGCATTTTCTGCTTCGAGTTTGTGTGTGAAAAGTGCACAAAAAACAACAAAAAGTAACGCCGAATAGGCGAACCACAGCAAATGGCAAAATAGAAATGTAAAAAAGGTATACGAAAAACAACTGCAACATCTTTAATTACATTATTAAAATTAATTGCAAATTGTTTGTGCGCGTGCGCGAGCGAGCCAGCTCCTTTTTAAACTTTTAAATCAGAAAAAAAGTAAAAAGAAGAAGAAAAACAG